AACAACAAACAAATGCCAATTTTATGGAAGATCTAGGATTAGCATTGACTCCTGCTCCCATGTCCTTTTCCTTAAACCCACTACTTTAAAAGGTCTTCCCAAGAATAATACCAACAACCGTAAAAGCAGCCTAGTATTTGGTACGGTACAAGTCATGGTCAAGACCGCCACGGATTCTTGCAGAGTGAAGACGTATATGAGGTTGCCTTGGGTCTCGGAGAGCTGACATTCTGTTCTGAATTGGAAGTCTTCCACTCTGGAAATATCATGAAGCCCTGGTTGCTCAATAGCTAACTGCTCCTCATGATGTAGAAGTCTGTGCTGTCCTAGCAAGGCCTGCAGACCCCTGGCAGCGTCCACAGAGACCAGAAGACCGGTACACAGTCCAGACGGCTTGCCCTCACATTCTTGGCCTTGTGAGCAGCCCAAAGGCTCCCTCCACACCTCCTCCCTCTTTACTTCATGTCATTTACTGCGTTTTCCCCTTAGTTTCAGATATGAGCCACAAGTTAAAGACTTTGCAAAAGACTAGAACCTCTGACATTTGGGGGAATCTGGTATTTATTAAATTGGGAGATTTAAACTGACTGTGATTTGTTCTTAATTTAGAGCAGTGACAGACAAATGCCTGAAGTGTGTGTGTGTGTTTGTAGAGCATCCAGGATCCAGGCACATTTGAGGGAGTAAACAGCTTAAAAATCCAGGGAGCCATGTGGCTGATTCATGTCAATGTAGCAAAAACCACTAAAATATTGTAAAGTAATTAGCCTCCAATTAAAATAAATTAATTAATTAAAAAGAAATCCAGGGAGCCATAAGTTGGAGGAGAAGGAACATCAACGCACATTTGAGCTCTACACCGAGAATGAAGTGGGTGGCTGGCCACGGCGCAGGGGCCCAGGGTTCTGATGAGGCCGCATCTGCGCGCTCACTTCCAGAGACTCCTGCTAGGCTAAAATGGCTTTCAAGAATGAGTGAGTGGATCGTTTTAATCTGCTCATCTCTGGAAAGACCCTGAGTCTGGCTCAGGGGAGACAGACGGCTGGGCCACACCGCCCCCCACCCCCAGGCCCTGGGCCTCTCCCGACCATGCCGGTTATAATCACCTGGCCTTCTCAACGTGATTCAGATCACTTACACCCGCTGTGTGCCAGGCACTGCTAAATACTTTATAAAAATCTCTTAATCTCCACAACCTCTGAGCTGGGCAATATCTTAGAGCAAAACGAATTTCACAGATGGAAGGAATCACAGCTCAGAGATGTTAATTGCCTGAGACCCTGGCAGGCAGTGGAGGTGGGATTTTAACATTAGGTTTACCTGACTCCCGAATCTGTATTCTCCCCTACCCTACGTCATCATGTTTACTCGGTCTTTACCCTCAGGCTGAACGCTGGGGGTAAATTATGAATATAGACATAAAGGCTGCCCACCAGGAGATCTGTCTGTCTCAAAACAGTACACTATTTACTTGTCTTTTCAGTCAGCTAGTATTTAAGGAAGAACATCCGAAGATTCAAACGTGCATCGGATCAAGGAGCTGCCTGTCTGCGTGTGGAGCTTCACAGGCTGGGAGGAGGGGTCCACGGAGTCAACGAATCTACGAGGAAATACAGTAAATAACTGCAGATGCTAATGAGTGTTAGGAAGTACCTAATCAGGCTGCCACAGTGGAGACCAGCCGCTGACACCGTCCCACAAGGAAACACATCATTTTGTAAGGTAACGAGCTTCACGCCCCCAGAAGTATTTAATCAGAGGCTGGGTGACCCACAAATGATCAGGCCACTGTGGGAAGCCACTGAAGGTGGGGGGAAGGAGAGACACATCAACTTGATTCCTGGTGATGCTCATTTCAACCAGGGGCAAGAAGGGACCCTCCACAGGGTTAGAGGAGGGATTCTAGAAGAAAGGAGTTGTGCTATTGATTATTATTCACGAGAACTGGGTTGGTGCCATGCAGTGGTCACATGTGAGTGACGGTGATGGAGCCGGAAACGATAGAGGAGAAACCCTTCGAATGAATGGAAGGGGGAGGGAGGGGACACACCAAAGCCGTCACAGCAACAGCAGGAAAGGCGGAGAACTCTGGGTTCAGGCCAGGTTCAGGCTCCACCGAGATCATTATCGGATCCTAATTACTCAGCTCTGCAGAGCAGGGCCCACAGGAGAAGGTGGTTGGCCATTGACACACGTGGGGTCCCAATGCCCCTTCAGACCAGACGAACGTCCGGTCTGGGTAGGAAACGGTATAGGCACTTAAGGAGAACTTCATCTTAAGAGGGGGAACTGTTTTGCTTTTGTCAAGCTGGTTAATTTGTCCCAAATGTTAAAACCCTCTCTTTCTCTTGAAAGATCAGAGTTCAAACAGCCAGGCCAGGGAGAGTTAAACCAACCACCTCCTGGGTCTCCCCCCTGCCCCTGGGTCCCACCAGCATGTTCCCATCGAGGAGACATGAAGGATTTTCACTTGCAGAAGGAAATAAAGTTTTGGCATGAGCTGGGTCTAAATGGCAGTATTCTATTAAACGTTTGGTGCAGCAGTTAATCTGAGTCCAGGGGAAAGGAACGTCTGTCGTTCAGCTCAGACCTCTCAGCTCCCCCACCCCGGTGATAACGTCCTCAGCTCATGGTTTCAGACCTGAAGTTAAGAGTTCTCAGATTTTTGAAAACCCCTTTCTGCAAAGAGGAGGGAAATGAGGCATGTGTATTTCAAATTTTTGCAGTCTGGAAAAATTCCAAGACTTATTAAAACACACACATACATACATACATGCATACATGCACACAAGCAGCACCAAGCCAGGAATTCTGCTCCACTCTTGATATGCTTTTTCTCGTATAATCCTTACAACAAGCCAGGAGGGGTAGGGACTTAAGAGTATTATCTCCCTTTCATGTTATAACTAAGAGAACCGAGGTTTCAGGAGATTGAACACATTGCCCTAAGTTCACTCAGATGGAGCGTAGGGCCACTGCTTGGACCAGTTCTGTCTCCCTCTAGGGGGCTGGTTCTCAACCAACCGGGGCCAAGTCTGCCCCACCTCCCAGGGGACTCTTGGCAACGTCTGGAGATATTCTGAGGGGCAGATACCGCTTTCATCTAATGGGCAAGGATGCTGTTCAATATCCCAAGAGGCTCGAGATGGCCCCTGGTAACGAAGAATCATCCGGCCCTACATGTCAACAGTGCTGAGGCTGAGAAACCCTGGTCTAGAGGCTGTGCTGTGAAACATTACCTTCCACCTGGTTTTTCTGTGTTCCTATTAATCCTTTCCTCTCAGCTCAAATCCCTCTAGGATTTATTTCAACCGCACTGGACCACATGTGGTTGCATGAAGCCACCTCTGAGCCTTCCTGCCATCAGATGAGAAACATCACAGCGTCACTGTAACTGGCGTGGTCTTCTCTCTCGTATATTTTGAACTGGGAGACGCCTCCAATCTCAGGGACAGCAGTCTCAGATCCACATTGTCTCTTAGGATCCTGACAGTAACCGTGTGAAGTCAGAATGACCCGTTTAACAGCCGAGGCTCTGAGCTGCCCAAGATCAAGCTGCTAGAAGTCCCAGAACTGAAACTGCACAAGTGCCTGGACTCCCCAGCCTGCATCCTTCCCTATGGTGGAGACTCTCAGGTTGTGCTAAGTTTTGTATTAATTGCAAGGCTGGCTTTTGAAGCTCCAGCCCCACCCCCAGTGTTCTGATCCAGGAAGTCCGAAATGGGATCTGGGAACAGGCATTTCTGACAAGTTCCCGGTGAAGTTTTGACGTAACTGTCACAGGGACCAAAATTACAGGAATGCCATACTGTCTTAATGCTGGATGTGAAGTGCAGTTAATTCTAAAAATAAGAGCTAAGATATCAATTTTGTTTATTTCATAGAAAAAATGACAAGTGGGATGCAGATGTGCATATATACCTGGAGAGGAGACAGGCAGCCTGTAGGGTCTCAAGAGGAATGATATAAATGTTTCCTTGAACACCATAAGGATGTGCGTTTTCCACCCCAGTTTTGCCATTGAGAGCTTTCTGATCTTGGGTATTCTCCTTGGCCTCTTTAGCCTCTCTCCTGTCATCATGTACTATTTGCTAATGAAGCAGATGGATGAGATGGTTGGCCAGCATCACCAATTCAATGGACATGAACCTGGGCAGACCCTGAGAGTGAGGGGCAGGGAGGCCTGGCGCGCTGCAGTCCACGGGGTCACAGAATGGACACGACTGGGCGACTGAACCACAGCAGTGAAGCTGACTGATGCTGAAGCGCCGATCCTTTGGTCACCAATTGCAAAGAGCTGACTCACTTGAAAAGACTTAGCGACTCAACAACAACAAAAGGAAACAGAACTAAAATTAAGCATCTGCTTTTGAGAATGGTATCAGCATTAGACATTTATGTATGGAAAGCACTTAACACAGTACCAAGATCCACTAAGCTCTACTCGATAACTGCCTCTGGTTCTCATTGTTTCCAGGAAGTGCGTGAATTGAGTCTGTTCAGCTTAACGCGAAGCGATGCCAAGCACACCGCGCTTCCCCTTTGGCAGAGCAAAGAGGACCGCTATTCCAGCAGCAGCTGCTTGAAGAGATGCAGCACCGTGCCCCCACCAGGCATCCCCCCACCACGCATTCCCCCTGCCCACTGAACCAGAAGAAGCAGCATCGCCAAAGCATCTGAAATATTTTTAAATTTATAAACATGCCTAGAGCAAGAACCCGTCTTCCCGGCTCTGATGAGAGAGCGCCAGCCGCCCCCTTCCCTTTCTTTCTTTTTATCTGATTGGACTGAGAGCAACACTTTCATGAATGGACTGGAAGCGAGACGTCAAAATCTGGTCCGATGATCGTGATTAAGCGTTTTCCTCTGGAATGACGCGATTATGTCTGTCTGAAACCTCCACCCGAGTCAAAGGTGTTCAGCTCCATCGGACGGTGGGAGCTCCTCCCGAGTCCCATCACAAACGGTGCGGGGGTCAAGCGGGGCACAGGGGTGCAGGGATGGGCGAGGTCTGGTTCCTGACCCAGGGCAGCGCAGGGCAGGGCGGCCGGACAGGCGGCCAACTGCATTTCCATCAACACCTATTCACTGAGCTCTCGCCCCGGGCTAGGCTCACGGAACAGGCAGGACGTAACAGCAACGGTGCAGACGTGAGCCCCATCCTCGAGATGCTCGGAGCCTGCGTCAGTGTCAGAATCATTCGGAGAGGACATTCAACAAGAAACCAGCCAGTGCAACTCACCACTGCGACGGTCATGAACAAGGAAGGGCTGAGAAACAGTCAGAGACCAAAGGAGATCAGAGAGACAGGAGGACTTAATGCAATATGGTGTGCTGGACTGGATCCAAACACAGGACATTTGCGGAAAAACTGATGAAATTCAAGTCTGGAATTTAGCGAACAGCAAGGTCAATGTCAGCTTCTTACTTGTGACAAATGTGCTGCAGCGGGTGTTTTAACTTGCAGGAACTAATGGGAAAGCGAAATGTTAATGGTGGGAATGGTGTGGTGTATAAGGGAAACCTCTTACTATCTTCACAACTGTGCTGAAAATCTAAAACTATACCAAAATAAAATGTATGTTTTTCAAACAAAGGCACACTTCTTGGTTCTCATCCTGAAAACTGTGATTCAGTAGGTCTGTCTTTTATTTCTTAGGTTGGAAGCAGCAAAACCTGACCCCAGTAACTGTCCTTTCTGAGACTGGGATATTCAGATGTCCTTCTTAGATGAGATAATGTAGGTTGTCCTGATATGAGATATCATAAGTTCTTTCAATGTATTTTCCTTTTAAAATTTAATTTAGACAGAAAAGCACTGGGTATCTTAGGTTGGAGGAATGGACGGACAAAATCTTCAGAGTTTTTTCTATCATTTCCTTGCCTAATGATCAGAATGCCAGTGAGAGGAGGCTACATGTCACTCGCTAGGGCTCGATGAGACAGCCAAGCCTCTTCCACGATTACCCAGAATGCGAACAGGGGAGGAGAAACGTCCCCTGGGAAATGAGGATGCTCTTTCCAGAGAGACCAGGAATAAATGCTGGGCAGCCCAAAGAACAGGTGACCTCTCCTGCAGGGAGGCTGAGGAATCATGCATTTTAACAGGAACCGTCTCCTGCCCCGAGTGATTCTCTGGCAAGGGACTGAAGGCTCTCGCTTGAGAGCTGCTGGCTTAGTGGGGTAGACAGACCCCAGACATGATACAAAGCAGATGCTATTTGTCTTCTAGGGAAAGCAGAAAATGTAATAGGAACCCAAAGAGAGAGATGGATCTTGACCACAGAGATGAGGACAGGCACTATGGAAAAAGTGGTGATGAACTGGGTCCTGAAATGTGGCTCAGATTTCAGAGGGTGGAGAGGAACAGTGTGAAGAGTTCCTTATTCACATTTTTCTTCCAAAATTAAAAATAAAGAGCAGAGCAGAGGAGCTGTTGTGGCCCAGGGAGGCTGGATGCTGGGGGTGGGCGGGGGGAATGTGGCCAGAAATGGGAGTGAAGAGCAGCCCATCCCAGCAGGAGGGGGGCCCCTCAAACGTCCTACAAGGTGCTGGCCTGTTCCTAAGACCTCCGCAGAGCGATTCACTCGGGGCCTTGCTATGCCCAGAACTTCTGGTTCCCACTCATGCCTGGGGAGGTTACCAGCTCCCCTCCTGAGACTCGAAGAGGATCAGACTGGAGGCAGGGAGATAGCAAGGAGGATGGAAGGATAGGACTCAGGACAGGTGATGGGGCCTGAGCTACAGTTAGTTGCCCTGGGAACTAAGGAAGGTGGGAGACTTGGCAGAATAAAGATGAGTTGGAAATTGGGTGGACATGAGAAATGAGGGAGGGGACATTTCTGACTTCCCCTTGGGGGATTAGAGGTAAATAGGTGTGCTTTGCTATGGAGATGCCACAGGTGTGGGGTCTCGGAGCTTGGCCTCCATGCTTTGGGCAACATCAGCAGGGTGGGATGCCAGAAGGGCTGTCCAGAAGAACCTAAAGAGCCAAGGTCCTTGCTGGGACAATGAAGTTGAGTTTCAAGGAAATGCAGAATTCAAGGCTGGTCAGTGAGGTCTCCTGTCAGGACCTTCACACTCTGTTGTCAGAATCAAGCTGAGGAAAGAGGGTGAGAAATGAGATGTGAGTGGTTAAGTGAGTCCACAGCCCTGTGTTACACGACTGTATTCCCGACAGGAGTTTCAACCCATTTTACAGATAGGAAAACTGAGGTCCACATGAGTGACCCTGGTGTGGGGTCAAGAAATATCTATCAAATGCCTCTCTTAAGAACCAAAGGTACAAAACTCCTGCTCTTGAAGGGCATAGAGTCAAGTAGGGAACCAGACATGAAATAAATGAATATATAACATAATACCAGGCTGTTTCTAGAAAAACAATGTAGTAAGTGCTGGGCAGAAGAGTAAGGAAATGGGTAGGCACACAGACAGATGTGCTATCACACTGAGTTTCTTCCTTCTGATTCAGAATATCAAACTTGGTAACATTTAAGAGAAAGATAATCAGATTACTTAGATCATACATTGTGAGTTAACCAGGTAGAGTTTGGATCACAAAGGGAATATTTGCTGAGGAGTGAGAACCATCAAGAGGAGCCTGGGATGGTCAACTCGAATCAGAGACCCAGGGCTGAATCTCAGCGCTCTGCTATCTGACTCTGGGCAAGCTACTTAGCCTTCTGAACATCAGGGGCTTTATCTATAGAGTAGATATATGGATACTTTGAATGTTTATGCTGAGGATTAGAAAAAACACACAAAGATCTTCTTGTAGTGGTCACATAAGTTGTCAAAAAAACAAAAGTAGAAACTTCCATTTCCTCTCCTTGGAAATGAGTCTGAAAACCCAGCCAGCACTGTCTACTCTTTCTCTTGACAATTTAAATTGAATTAAGTGGAATGGGGATGATTTCATGTAAATACTGTAACTCAGAGTATTACATCCTACTATTTCATCCCATAACAAGCCTTGGTTTCTGCGGTTGCTAAGATCTGACTGTCTCATTAGTCTTTCAATCCAATGAGCTAGTCCATAGGCTTCCAGTAAACTCCCTTTTTGCTCATTACCCAGAGAAGTCGCTTCTTAAAAAACCTTAACTGATTCAGTTAATATTACTAATATAATGAGGAGTGTTTGTACCTCCAATATGGAATAAAATTACCACAAATCATTATTACACTAAGTATTAGTGTTATCTTTATCCAAAGTAGAAACTTGAGCCTGACACCTTAGACCACTCAGCCATTCCCTGGTGCCTCAGATGGTAAAGCATCTGCCCACAATGAGGGAGACAAGGGTTCGATTCCTAGGTTGGGAAGATCCCCTGGAGAAGGAAATGGCAACCCACTCCAGTACTCTGGCCTAGAAAATTCCATGGATGGAGAAGCCTGGTGGGCTACAGTCCATGGGGTCACAAAGAGTCGGACACGACTGAGTAACATCTCTTTCTTGTTTTTTCTTTTATCCAAAGTATCAATAAAAATCTTAACTGGGCCCTAGATCTGGGGACGATGGAAAGAGATTGGGTCTCTACATAGATTAATAGATACTAGATTTTACCTGTCCCACCCAGTCCCATCTCCCATCCTTGATAACTGAGGAAACACCAAATGCTTTGCCTAAAATGCAAAAGACACTTTATCAAGATCTTGACCTTGAGAGGAAACACTAAAGCTTCAATGACTTTTCTGCATGCCACAATGGACACTGACAAAAATCCTGGATTTGAATGCTCATCCCAGAAGTGCAGACTCAGAGGGAGAGAAGTGGGAACCCCGGAGATGCAAGCTGGAAGCACCTTTGTTGATCCGTCAAATATCCTGTGTTCCTTGGACGTGCATGACTATCCCACGCCGAAGTCTGATTATATTGCCTTCTACTGCTGTGCAAATGCGGCTCAGAGATTGTTATGTTAGACGAGAATACACACAAACATCCAGAGATGTTTGTGGCCTCTTGCTTATCCTTAAGAATTTTCACTCTTCGGTTCAGTTGGCTCTAGCTCTGTCTCCAGCTGTTCAGAGTTGACACCAACCCATATTACAGATGGGAAAACTGAGACCCAGATGGAGACCCTGGACTAGGGTCACAGTAAGCAAGAATCAGGGAGGGCCAATCTTAGAGCCAGATCTCCTATTCTTCTAGCCCAGTTAGGGAGATAAGCATTCAGGGGAGAAGGAAATATTGTGGTGGCTTTTGTTTGCTTTTGTTTTAAACCAAATGTGAATATTTTTTCCAGATACACTCCTAGGTTTTCGTTCTGTAATTTGGAGAAGGAATTACAGAAGGAATGTGAGCTGTGCTTTTCTGCACTGTGTGGTTTTCTCCATCCCCATATCTCTGCCCATGGCTGAAGGAGGGCACACAGTGCTGGTCTAACAATGCAAACTAAAATTACTGTTGTTTTTTCTTTGAGTCAAGGGCTGCTGGGTTGCTGGGCAAAGTTGAAATTTCTTGAATGGGCTTTGGTAGAAGAAATCTGAATCATCAAATATAATTCTAAATAAGATCTGTATCTCCTGGAGGCCTGGGATGACAGCTCCATGAATATCCTACAAAGATACCTTTTACCAGCTTCCTTCCCCCTGAATCACCAGCCAATTAAAATCTTTTCCATTCTTTTTCTTTCCATTATTAAATACTGAAGATAACCCTTGAGGCATATGGGTGTGTTTTCTTTAAGCTTTATTATGTCCCTCTTAAGTGACTTTTAAAGAACCCAGCTGCAATGCAGGAGACCCTGGTTCAATTCCTGGTTTGGGAAGATCCCCCGGAGAAGAGAGGCTACCCACTCAGTATTCTCAGGCTGCTCCCCTGGTGGCCCAGACAGTAAAGAATCCGCCTGCAGTGCGGGTGACTGGGCTTGATCCCTGCGTCCAGAAGCTCCCCTGGACAAGGGCGTGGCACCCCACTCCAGTATTCTTACCTGGAGAATCCCATGGACAGAGGAGCCTGGTGGGCTACAGCCCATGGGGTCACAAACCGTTGGACATGAATGAGTGACTAACACACTCATAAATAATTTTGATTATATCTATACACAAATGCTTGCTCCTACATTTTCCTTTTACTCTTTCCTATGAAATTAATTACATTATTGTGAACTCTTCCCCGATGTCATTTAAGATAGCTGCATAATTTTTATCCATTAACAGTTCCATGGTCGTACCTCAGTTGTGGGTAATCTAGATCATTTTTGCTTTTTTGGCTAATAATTTAATTAATAAACATGAGCATTTTTTTTCTTAGTCCTTCAAATAGATTATAAAAATGGAATAGCTGACATGCCATTTTCCCTGTAAGGTGTGAATATGGCCATTTTGGCTTCTTCTTACCAGCCTTGAATTCCACGGACCGTATAGTCCATGGGGTCACAAAGAGTCGGACACGACTGAGCAACTTTCACTTTCACCATTCACATTGCCAGCTTTGATGAATTTCATTGGAGAAAAAAATGATGATTAGTCAATTGAGAGATAAAGCCTAAAAGTTTACCTGTCTTTGTTTACTCCCTGGACTGAACTTTTATCCACTTTCTCCAACTAGTTACATTCCTTTTTTGGCGAATACTTCTGTGTGTGTGTTTAATGATCAAAGAGTGTAACTGTACAACTGAGAAATATAGAACAAAATACAACTATTGGAGAACAATTGCTCCACAATATTGTGCCGGCCTCTGGCACGCATCAGCGGAGACCAGCTGCAGGCGTGCACGTGTCCCCTCCCTCCTGCAGCCCCCCTCCCGCCCCCCACCCCTCTAGGTGGTCACAGAGCCCTGGTCTGAGCGCCCTGTCCACACGGCGAGCTCTCACTGGCTATCTATTCTCCATGTGGCCACGTGTATGTTTCCAGCTCTTCTCTCACTCGTCTCCCTCCCTCCCTCCCCAACTGTGTCCACAAGTCTGTGTTCCATGTCTGCGTCTCCACTGCTGCCCTGCAAGTAGGTCCATCAGCACCATCTTTCTATGGCAAACAGTTTTGTATTCTGCTGTCCTTCCATCTCCCAAGGCCCTTTCCTGACATCCTACGTCTCTTATTAAGGGTCTGAATGTCCCTTAAGCACAAAGGATTTCTCCCCCTGTTCTACAGTGCTGAGTGCTGAGAGTACAATCGAATCACAGGAGTTACATGTGGCTGTGATGAAAGCAGTTGGGTAGAAGTATGATCTTTCCAAAGAGAGGGCGAGCACAGCTTTGCTGCTTGTCCACGAGGACAGAGTGCACATGCGGTCAGTGAAGGGAAGGAGGAGAAGGGGCGGGAGGCAGGGCAGGCTCACCTCCTTTTGTCATCATCTCGCCTTCAGGAGGCTGGGGGCCACAGCGAAGGAGAGACAGCAAGACGTCCGGGTCTGTGACCCAAGTAGGTACCCGCACTCCACTTTGCCCAAACTCACAGGCCACCCCCAAGGCATCGACACTGCCTCCTTGGGAACTACAGCTGCGACCTGGCCAACCTCTGAACACCTTGAAGGTTTCGCAGAGACAGGGCTAAGTCATTGAAAGAAACCTACAAGGTACTCTTGAGATGCACCAACTGCTAAATAATCCAGATTTCCAACATAAACGCCAATCCCACGGTAAACCATAGTGCGGAAAATACCACACCTGAAACAAAACCGAAAGCTCATGAATGAATTCTTCTGGCTGATCATCGTTTTCAGGGACCCTTGTCATTGTCAGTTACATAAGAAGTTTTCTTTTCCATCTTCTTTATAGTATCTCACCCATAAGCAGAGGGTGATCATGCTTCCAGATTATGTTAACTATGCTGAGCTCTTCCTAGACCTAGATGTGGGAAGAGAAATCATTCCAGCCTGTTGTTTTTAATTAACCTCTTGTCCTCTAGGCTTATCCCATCCCAGAAAATGAAAGCCATATATTTGAGCGTATGTGTGCCAAATTCTATGTGTAATACAGTGGAAAATCCCTGGCAATAAAGAGAGAACTTTTAAAATGACCCACAGTTCCCTGGGTCCCCGGAAAGCTCTAGTTAACATTTTGCAAACCTGCAAACTCTCTTGGTTTAAACCTCACTTGAATCTCAGACCTCAGAGTGTATCTCATGGCTGTCTGAAACAACCCCAGATGCAGTGCTGTTGATTACCACAGGACCAGGGGTGAAGCCCAGGAGAAGACTCTGTTGCTTCAGGAACAGTGATGTAAGGAATCTGAAACTGACATCCACTGGGGAACTTGAACCGTCATTCCAAAGACCAATGGATCCAGAAGTCTGATAGAGTGAGTGAGTGAGTGATCGCATGTGTGTGCTGGGAGAGAGGCAGATTGAAGGCAGCAACTCTGAGTTAGTTGGTCTAAAGCCAAACCCAGCAGGAGAGACCATTAAGAGTCCACCATCTACTTTAATGCTATGACATAATTTGCTATGACTTGCCCACCCCCAAGCAAGGTGCTCTGTTTTGTTTTTTTAAGATGTAGATATGGGGACTTCCCTGGTGGTCCAGTGGCTAAGACTCCACACTCCCAATGCAGCAGGCCTGAGTTTGAGCCCAGCTCGGGGAACTAGACCCCACATGCATGCTGCAACGAAAGATCCTGCCTGGTGTAGCCAAAAAAATAAGTAATTTTTTTAAAAAGATGGAGATATGTGTTTTGTCCTTACATAAGGAAAATAGGTTGGAACATATATTTGGCGGGAACGGTGGGGTGGGGTTGGGGGGGGGTCAGTGTCCTAAAATCACACACTCTAAACACTATGAAGTTCTTCTTTGGAACCATTTCTATGGAATGGAAATAATGACAGCCGTATCTAAAAGTTAAGCAGCTTTCCCAAGCGGTGAGTGAGAAAGCTAGGATGTGAACTCAGCTTTTCCCAGTGCATCAGGATCTATGAGACCACACTCTCCATCCAATATTGATAATGACCCCTCTCGTGTGCAGACTCCTTTAAGGGCTTATGTTTTCCTACACATTGTCTCCAACAGTCTTGTCAGGAAAACTGTGACCTTTTCACCCTATTTTAGAAAGGAGGAGAGGGAGACTTGGAGATGTGATGCTTTATTTGGGAAGATAACTATGGGCAACACAGAACTACACTGAGTGAAGCAGCGACCTGTCAGCGTGGAAATCGAATCCAGTCTTCTGCTTCACATCTGTGGACACCATTGTAGCACCGGAGGATGTGGCCAAGGCTCTGATGGCCCAGCCTCAGTCCTCTCCACCCCCGCAGCCTCCCGTCTCTACAGCCCAGCCTCAGGGAACTCGCTTCAGCCCCTCTGTGTCACCACAGTATCTGTAAACACCAGGTTCCCCATCCATGTTCCTTTCTCTCTCTGGAACTTCCCGATTCCTACCACACCTCCTCCCATTTCCATCTGGGAATCTCCACACCCTTCCTCTCTCAGCTTCACTGCTTCCTTGAGGGGGACTTCCCTGAAACCCACAAGTGTGGACAAGATGCCTCTCCTTTCCTCAACCCTACTCTTCCCCGACACAGCACTTCGTGGGCAATACTGTGATGGACTCTTTATTTAGCTGTATCCCAACCATAAGCCTAGAATCTTCAGGAGGATGAGGGCTGACTCACAATGACTTTTAGAGTGTCTATCCCTTTCTCTGATAAGGGGATGTAAAGAAGCCCTGACTAAGTTAAGGAGGACTGTTCGGATGAGGTAAGGCTCGACTCTGATCTTAAATGGTGGGCTGAATTTGCAGAAGGAAGGTGGGAGGAAAAGACATCCTCGATTTGAGAAACAGCATCTGGTCTCTGGAGCATGACATTTCCATGGAACAGGGAGGAGCTTGGTCAAGCTCTGGAGGCAGCTCAGGACTCTGTGTTAAAGCCCACGCTCTTTCCAAACAGAGTCCTCCATAATACACATCCTGCCACCATGCTGAATTTATCTATCAGTTCTACTAGTTCTTGTGTGGAGTCTTCAGGGTTTTCTGAATATAGTATTAATATCATATGATCTGCAACAATATTACCTCTTCCCTCCCAATTGTGGACACCTTTTTTTTAAAACCATGTTTTTTATATGGACCATTTTCAGTCTTTATTGAATTTGTCATAACATTGCTTCTGTTCTGGGTGTTTGGCCACGAGGCAGGTGGGATGTTAGCTCCCTGATCAGGGATTGAACCGGCAACCCTGAATTGGGGAGGCATAGGAAGAGCAAGGCTAATCAATAATTCAGGTTGTTTTTCTCTGAACAACAGCCCTGAGAAAAGACGTGCTATTAAGTCTTTAATAACTGGTTCCTTCTGGAGGAGGTCTGGCTCACACAGAAATGGTGTAAACACTCCCACGGTGTCCACTTGCCGTGGTGTAAATACATGGAGTGGCTGAGTTGAAGCCGTCAGCAGAACACCTGTGAGCTCAGAGTCGGGAGGGGTCAAATACGGCCGCACCTGTGAGGGAGCAGAAGCCCGTGGCAGCACATCGCTGGCCATGAGACGCCGAGGGAGGGTCCAAGACGAGAGCAAAGGGAACAGGCCCCAGGCCCCGGGAGCCCCCCTGCACTCAGACGCTCAGCAAGCGCTGCAGTCCACGGGAAGTGACTGACGGCGCTAGCGTGGAGGACGGATCGTCAACACAGCAACTTCTGCCTCCCAAGCAATGTCCAGGCGACCTCATTTCATGCTCAAGGACACGCAGGGTAGCAGCTATGACTTTTTTCACAGACGAGAAAACAGAGGCATAGAGAGTTTACCTTATTTGTTCAAAATCACAGAGCAAGTAGGTAATAATAGGAGAAGAGACTGAAACACACGTATGTCTAAAACCAAAACCCTAGTTCTGCCTTCTCCTCAACGTCTCTTCCTACAAAATTGGAGTGGGCGGAGGCTGGAAGGGGCTGACCTTAATGAGAGAAATGGGGAGGAAATTAAAGATTGATGTCCATGAGTATAAACCTAGCCCATGTATACCACGCACACTAAAAACCCATAATTCACACCAAACAGCAATGCTAGAGACCCCACCCCCACACCAGATTTCTAGTACAGTTTTCTTCTAACCTTCGCCCTAGATTCCTGAAAGAGAAGAAAATGATAAAGCAACAGGAAAATGAGTTATATATATTTCACAATAAACTCTGTACACTGGACATGTATCTAAAATGGAAATACAGCTCTTGGCCAAATCTCCCACTTCTCAATATTGCATGACTCTTCCCCCAGTCACTTAACATTGCCCAAACCAAATATTCCTGATCACAGCAGCCCAAAGAGAGAATAAGGTTTCACATTTAATACAGATCGCACCACCATCCTCAACAAGCACACACACTGTGATAAGACGACGTTTAGAGGGATGATGTATTCTCAGAGCTATCAAAACACAATGTCTTGTTCACACTGTTGCTTCTTCTTCCCAGTAAAGATGGACAGCGATGAGAACAAACCAGTCAATCCTAAAGGAAATCAACCGTGAGTACTCACTGGATGGACTGATGCTGAAGCTCCAATACTTTGGCCAGGTGCTACAAACAGCTGACTCATTGGAAAAGACCCTAATGCTGGGAAAGATTGAAGGCAGAAGGAGAAAAGGGCAACAGAAGATGAAATGGTTGGATGGCGTCACAGATTCAATGGACATGAACTTGGGCAAACTCCAGGAGATGGTGAGGGACAGGGAAGCCTGGCGTGCTGCAGTCCATGGGGTTGCGAAGAGTTGGACATGACCTGGTGGCTGAACAACACCAACAACTAAAGATGGAGCAATCAGTTAAGCTTACTGGTTGATGCCAAGGGTTTCAGAGACATCCAGACTAGGATCTGAGATCTCCATTTCAGAGGGAAAAGCTTGCTGCTGGAAAACATCCAGGGTGCCAGAAGGAGAGGAGGGACTTTCCCTGGCATTGCAGGGGACAGGAACCTGCCTGCCAATGCAGAGGACACAGGTGTGATCCCAGGTCCAGGAAGATTCCACATGTCATGGGGCAGCTAAGCCGGTATGCCGCAACTACTGAGGCCACATGCTGCAACTACTGAAGCCTTCGCTCCTAGAGCCTGTGCTCCACAACAAGAGAAGCAACTGCAATCAGAAGCCCACACACCGCAGTGGAGAGCAGCCCACGCCCGCCCCAACAAGAGAAAGCCTGCACATAGCAACGACGGCCCACTGTCAAAAAGAAACACATAGGAGTTGTTAAAAAAAAAACAACAGAAGAAAGGGTAGATAGTCCAAGATCACGAGGATTCATCTTCACAGTGCAGAGTCCACCTTGGGTGGGGTGGTGGCCAGACCAGGAAATAGTTACCAAGAGCCTCAGTTCCCAGCCGGTGTTCATGCCTCCTTCCCATCATGGACAGGGCTGCCCTGTGTAATCAGCACATGCTTAGTCACTTCAGTCATGTCCAACTCTTTTGTGACCCCATGGACTGTCGCCCCCCAGGCTCCTCT